CAACCCCCCACACCCCCACCAACACCCCGCGTTGGTGTTGTGGGGCGTGTGGGGGGGGGGGCGGGGGGGGGGGGGGGGGGGACGGGGAGGGGGGAAAAGGAAAAAGAAAAGGAAAAGGAAAAGGAAAAGGTCCTTCTGCTGCAACTGTTCTACACTTGTCTTGGAAAAGAGAGTAGTATGTAATTAATGTTTTGTGAGTTAGTAAAACAGGGGCCTATGACTAGGTGATTAGAAGAGATTTTTTTCTGGGGTTTAGATACTCTCCTAGATAAAGAACATGTCCCCTGAGAAGCCTAGGAAACAGGCCCTCAGAGCTAGCTTTCTATCTTTGCATTCTTCCACAGGAAAGCTTTGCAAAGTTCACCCTCTTCCTATGACACCTTAGAGAAGTTGTCAGAATCTGTCTTTCCTCAATGGCAACACTGGCAGAAGCAGAGCCACCTATGCACAGCTCTTCTCCTCAAACCTCCAACACATTCTTTACATACCAGTCCTGGGTTTGAACACCCTAAATATACTATGGTTTTAATTTTAATTGTTAATCCAGTTTAATACAATTACCCCAGTCTGATCAAATAACGATGAGCCAGAATCAATTCATTAGATTTCTGTAGAATGACGTATCAGTAGGGATATTTTGGTACTAATCAATCTCTGTTGCATCTTTCATTTAATTCAAGAATGTGGGTTGGTCTGTAGGCAGGATGCAATCCTGTTTATATGTCTGAGGCCTTGGGAGTCTAGGGACTGTTTGCAGCAAGAAGCTCCCAGGAGAAAAGGCATATGCTTTCATTCCAGGGTTTGGAGAGAAGAAGAAAACACTGTGCCCACTCAGCAGAACAACTGCAGCTCAGGAGTCAGGGCCCTGTGAGGAAATGGAAAGCTTTGGAACCCAAACGTTAGTGGATCATAAAACCACTGTAGGCTAAAATAACCAAGCAGACATGTCAGAGAATACTATAGGAAATGAGGGTCCATCTTGTTTCATGAAATGTACATATGGTTCTGCACAGACATGTAAGCTTGAGTTCCCAGGTTTGCATGTAAATACATGGCAGGATTGGTAATGCTGTGAATTAAATTCAAGGCGCTGTAAAAGCTGGGCTATGGCTTGCTCTCCAACTGTACTTAGTTGCTGATTTTCTGATATAGGGTCTCTCTGTCGCTCAAGCTGCCCTTGAGTGATGATCTTTTCATAACTATCTCCTGAGTGAGAACTGGGATTACAGGCATATAGCACCAGGCCTAGCTCTAAATTACAACAATAATAAATCTCAGACAAGCATTGTGGTACATTCCTATAATCCCAGAACTCAGGAGGGTGAGGCAGGAGGATTTCAAGTTCAATCCTGGGTCATATAGTGAAACTCTACCAGGAAAAATAAACAAATAAAACAGAATTAAGACACCCCCAAGTCCTTTTACCATATATCATGGTCAAAAGTCTGAAAAAGATCTAGATTGACCACTACTCTATCAGGAGCTAGTGTGGGGGTGGGAGGGCTGTCCCTGACTCTGTGCTGCCTTGTCTGGCCTCAGTGGGAGAGGATGTGCCTCGGTGGGTTGGTGGGGGGGGCAGGGCAGGAAGAGGGGCTGTAATGAGGGGGATACTGGGGGTAAGGGGGCTGTGATTGGGATGTTCTCTTGGCATTCTTGTTCCCTTTGTCTCATGTACAAATTGGGAATGATAATGGGAAATTTCCCATCTTAAGTGGTTAATCAGTCTTACATAAAACTTATCCTCTGATTTTATTTTTCCATAGTGTCACAGAAATTTAAAAGTACTGAGGTAAAAGCTCTATCCTATCTCAGCAAATATTAAGATCAGCAGGATTTTAATATGTATACAATAAAACCTAAACATGAAAACAAGAGCCTAGTTCTAATATAGCAAATGAATGTCGAGTCAATAGTTTTTTCTTCAGATCTTTAACAAAAGCTACTTGACTAATGCCCTCAGAATGTTTACTGACATGGCCAGGGCATCATTATATCATGTGGTACAGACTGCTATTTGTACTGGTTTAAATGAAAATACCCTTCCCCATCAGTTCAGATATTTGAACATGTGGTACCAAGTTAGTGATGCTTGGGAAGGTCCCACAGCATCCTCAGTGTGCTCTCTCAGCTTCCTGCTCATTCTGAGGATGGGCTCTCAGACTCTGTCTCCTGCCTGCAGCTTGTGGCCGTGCCTCCCTGTTACGATGAATTTCTGGAACCATAAACCAAAATTAACTCTTCCTTCTGTAAATTACCTTAGTCATGATGCTTTATCATAGTAACAGGAAAGTAACTAATAAACTGCATCCCATCTTACTCAAAAGAAAGGACTGTACAGTTATTTCAATGTGGTTATTTTTACAGCTCATACACAAAAACAGTAGATTGGTTGCCCTAGACCCTTAAAAACTTTCAATTTAGTGCAGAACTGGAATTTAACACAATACTTAGAGATTTATTTATTTATTTATTTATTTATTTATAAGAACTTATCTGATCTAAAGAAGGTATTTGAAAATACATGAGATCTCACTTGAAGTTTTCTTGCAATTATGGACATATGTGCAGTGATTTTTCCACTGCAAAAAAGCAAAATTCAGGCTCTCCTGATGGCATTGAAAAGGCAATTCTGTTGACTACAAATGGGAAAGGTAAGGCTCATGGTCTCTGTCAGCAATACTGGCTCTTACACGGCTATGACAATGGCTTGATGATTTAAGAGAGCAAGGCCTTCACTGGAAGGGCATCCTACTTACTGACTAGTTTCCAAGACTGAGCCAACTTTCAGAAATCGTCTAACTGGACTTCCACCTTGTATTACAGAAATCTGCCCAGGGATCACCGTGCTTTTGGACACTTGATCAGTGTGTGTAAAAGCCTTCCATTCAGCGTGTTGGATTCACAAACTGTTATACATGTTAACTATGGAGAGCTTTCCAGTCTATAGGGTTGGCCCCACTTTTAGTACAAATATTTTCTATGGGTTATTATGTGAAAAATTTGGAAATTTACTGACTAAATCGCCATGAGCAATACCACCTTATGTTTTAGCATCTACTACTGAAGTCATTAAGCTACTTGATGTTTTCAGAACAAAGTGTTCGGTAGTGGAAAGAACAGCTTCCTTCAGGAAGTTGCTGTATTATTAGATTATGCATATGAACGAGCTCACTGTTCCTCTTTTTGACCTGGTTTGTAGGAAGCTCAATCCTAAGCCTCCTGGTCAGCTGTATCAGCCAGAGCTCCCAAACCCATTCCCTAAGTTCACCACTGAGCTGTTTTAGTCAATAGTTGTGTATGCTGATATTATATTCTCTACTTTTTGAACTAGATTGGATTGAAAATGTACATGAACAACTGGGCATGGTGGTACATACCCTTAATCCCAGTACTCTGGAGACAGAGGGAAGTGGATAGAGATCTTGAGTTATAGGCTAGCCTGATCTACAAAGTAAATTCCAGGACAGACAGGGCTCTGTTACACAGAGAAACCTTGTCTCAAAAAACAAAACCAAAAAAGAATAAAAATGTACACAAACAAATAAAACTTTCAGAAAAAAATGTCTGTATTATAATGAATATCCTAGTGTTTCTGTTTAATATGCTTCTGCAAGAATGGGAAGTTAGAAAGCACACATCAGCTCACCCTGTGAATTATAATTCAAACAGAGAAGAGAAAACACACATCTCCATATGGTATTAGCTACCTTATATAATGCTAGATGTTTCTCTGATTTAAACAATAACTTTTAAGATGACTCATCTCATAGTGACATTGTTAGAATATAAAATGAATGTTGACATTAATAAAGCTTGACCCAAACAGGAGTAAAGGGCTGACCTGCTAGTAAGATGATTCTCTTACAACAATAAAGAATAAGGTCTCACCTAAACGACCTCAGCATCCGATAGGACTTTCCCAAATCCGACACTCTTCTGCAAAATGGACCCACAGCCAACTCCATCTGAAACATGAAAAGATAGTCCATAGCTTTATATGTCAGATTCTGAAGGCTAAATCTGACACATGATCTGTGTTTGTCAGTATTTTCTGATATGAATAATGAAGAGAAGAGTGATTTATCTGGGCTCATAGCTTCTAAGGTTTCAGTCCATCAGGATGAAGGTGTGGAGGGGCAGAGCAGCTTACCAGGTGGTGGTCAGCAAACAGAGAGAATGCCTGTGCTGCTGGTACCCCTCCCTCCCCCTCTCAGCTCCACCCCTGCTGTGGATGGTTGGACCTACACTCAGGACAGGTTCTTCCCTCAGGTAAGAATCCTCTCTGGAAATGCCCTCCTAGAACAACCAGAGCTGTGCTTTAAAAATTTCCTAGGACATTTGCAATCCAATCAAGTTGACAGATTAACCATTACTTTACCTCCATCCTAAAAGATTGTGATCTTTATAAACCTAATGTTAACTGCTATGAAACAAGTGCTGGATGCCATTTAAGTTTATTAAAAGGTAAAGACTTTAATGACATTTACACTTCTTACTAAAGAGGCCCAAGATGAGATATTCTGGTGGTGCTAAGTAAGAGAAGGAGATCAAATCCTGTCTGTGATGGTTTGTATACGCGGCCCAGGGAGTGACACTATTAGAAGATGTTGTACCCTGCTGGAGTAGGTGTGGCCTTGTTGGAGTAGATGTGTCACTGTGGGCGTGGGCTTTAAGACCCTCCTCCTAGCTGCCTAGAAGCCAGTCTTCTACTAGCTGCCTTCAGATGAAGATGTAGAAAAGCTCTGACTGCACCAGGCCTGCCTGGATGCTGCCACACTCCTATCTTGATGATAATGGACTGAACCTCTGAATCTGTAAGCCAGTCTCAAATACAGGTTGTCCTTTATAAGACTTGCCTTGGTCATGGTGTCTGTCCACAGCAGTAAAACCCTAACTAAGACATTGCCTTAGTTGAAATATCAAGAAAAAAAGCTTTCTAGACTGTGCTCTTGTATTCTATGTAGGCATTGCAAGTCTCCATAGTCGAAAGAACTGATGAAAAATTTTACCAGTCAGCATGGTCCAAGTGATTATAAAGTTTTAGCTCTCAAGATTTCGGTGGCACGTAAGTGGCAGAATTCTAAACTACAGTCACTGTAAGGTGACCCTGAACAAGCTAGGACTCTAGTCTAAGCTCTGTCACAAGTCAAGTGGAGATGATAAAAAGTACCTAGCATAATTACAGAAATCACATCTACAGACTCGTGCTAAGCTGGTGCTGGGCAGACAGCTCAAGGGCTAAGGACTCTTGAAGAGGAACAGGGTTTAGTTCTCAGCACCCACATGGTGGCTCACAACTGCTTGTAACTCCACTTCCAGGGACCTGGCACCGCCTTCTGTGTTCCGCAGACACACAGATGGCACATGTACATACATGAAGGCAAATGCTCAAACACATAAAAACAAAATAGGTCTTTAAAAATTCTGAAGTTATCCGTAATTTTTTCTTATTTATACTATTAAATTAATCTTTCCCCATGCAAGAAATTAGCAAATGTTGGTTTTACTTCTTTTTATTTTCCACCTTTGACTGAGTTCTACTTGACATTAACTGGCTCTTGGTTCTTTATCTCCCACATGCTCATGTAAATTATCTGCAATGTGTGGTACCCAGAGGAAACTGGTCCTCCGAGCTGACTGGAAATGTGCTCCATATGAAGGCCAGTTTAGAACATGGTAAGGGCAAATTATTCCCGATAGTATAGTGTCTTCATTTAAGAAACACACAGGGAAGCAACCACAGGATCAGCACCTGTATGAAACACCGCTCAACACTCCTCAGCCATGGGGACCTCAGACCCTTAATCAATCACTCCTTTGTCAAGCGAGTTCTACTCCCGACTCCAGCCAGGTACCAAATTACATGTGAGGATGGGGTAGAGAGTTAGAAACAGACTGGTTTTCTTTCAAGAATTCTCAAATTTAGTAAAGGTTTTTTTTTTTAAATGTAACTATTCAATAAGATCATATACCATGTATAAATGTATATGTGTACACACAAATATTCATGCTCAAATAACTTTATGAATTTTTGAACAGCTTCATGATTTGCTAATTCTATCCCACCAATAACTGTGGTATGCATATAAGGGTTTCCACGCACCTTGATGCAATTTGATTAACTGTATTGCTGAAGTAACTACAGTGCACATACAGATGTCCACAGACTTATTACTAGGCAATGAGAGTGCACTGAGAAGCCTGCGGTGAGTCCTGAGAAGCGCAGGGAAGCCTCCTTGAGATGCTTTAGTGTTAGGTCAGTGTTGCTCTTCTGGTACAGAAGATTCAAAATAAACATCAAACATTCAGGATAAACACTCCCTGTCTTAAGGGGGAAAATCTTACATGATTAGAAAACTCGAAAATATGAAGACTAAAGAAATAAAAGGTTGAAGAAGAAAAAGCCAGTATTCTCTTTGACAAGACAAGAACAGCTGGGGACCACTGTTCTCAAACCCAAAAGTCAGGGCCAGTGGGCTATTCTTTGGGCCTTGGGTAGTTTATTCTCATGCCAGGGAATTCTGGTTTCTTTCAGAATGAAACAGTTACTGTGCATTGAACACGAGTAACTATGGAATCAGTACATGCTTCTGATTTGCTAATTCTATCCCACCAATAACTGTGGTACGCATATAAGGATCTCCATGCACCTATTTTGTGATATAGTTTCTATGACATATTTTGGTCATTTTTTCTTCCCATTACCCTTGTAATTCATTATATTCAAAGCTCAAACCAAACGACCTTTGTCCTAGCCCTGGAGTAAGACTAAATGTTAAAACAATTAAATAGCTATGGAAAAGTTCCTGTATGAAAGATTATCACCTCAAATGACTGTGAATTCCATGATGACACAGAAAGATTCAAAAGGCTAAATGTTTCAGATAAATTTTTAATCTAAAATGTCCCCCAGGGGACTGAAAAATCATTTCCCTTTAAACACTGAAGTCTATGCTTAAAGAGAAGCGCTCTGCTAGAGGAGTCTGCGGAGTTACAGATGGACTCTCAGTGGTAGGCATCTGGGCTGCTGTCCCACCTGGCTGCTGCTCAGTACCCACCAGGCATTTGGTCAGCCACCGGGCCCATCTACATGTTTCAGGGGCATTCTTGCCCTGACAATGGTCAAGAGAAGAAAAGGCAAGAGGAATCAGAATCAACATAAGAAGTTTGCTTTCTTTTCTAACTCACATTTTTGGGGCAACGTGGGAAAGATAAAAATATATATTTAAAGGGCACCAGAAAATATGAATAGAAACTGCTAGGAGCACTACTGAAGAATTTAATTCCAACTTCAATATCTGTTCTCTCCCTCAGAGGAAAAAAAAGAGGTGAGTGAGGAGCAGGGGGAGAAGGTGCCTCAGCAGACACCATGGGCATGTCTGCTCTGAGCGGGAATCAGCAGAACCCTGTGGGCTTGGACAAGCTCAGGGCTTTTTGAACTGCTGTGTGATTAGTGTAGACAAAGAGGCAATGTGGTGACAGCAGGAAATTAATTACCTGTAGGAAGCCACCTCATGCTCATGACCTAATTCTTAGGGGACTGTACGCTGGGCACTCCCCTTAATAAGAGCCCTCCAGATGGCAGCCTGCAACTGCATTTTCTCTGCACAGGTGGCCCTGAGGAGGTTAGGATTGTTTAAAGAATCCTTACAATTCTTCACTTATTTGTCCTTACCTCTAAACTTAATGTCAAAATCTCCCCAAATTCCTTCTTTTGGCCTTTTCTTGAGCTCTGCTTTCAGCCAAACAGCAGGGACTTTGATTACAAGAACCCTTTCCAAAGCCTCAGAGAACTGTGTGCTCTGGATTTCAGTAACCTCAGTGGCCCTGTTTAATTGTGATTACAAACTGACAGACCTTTCAATAATGAGCGAGTTAAAAGGCTCTAGTCCCCAACTAATGTCTGGGAAGCATACAAATTTCAAGAAAATGTTATTTAAGAGTTTTGACTAATCCAGACAAAACACTTCCAACCAAACAGGACTCTGAAAGCTGGAGTCGACACATAATTACAGTTTTGATCTAGTGAAATCAAAACCTCAGTTCAAATTTTAATTAAAAAAAATGGAGTACTGATTTTGACCAAATACCTGGCAAATGTTTGCTAATACTATTGGTCACAAACACCATGCTTCAGCTTCTTCCCTGTACCCATGGCTCCCGGGATCTGAGCCAGGCTAAGAGGAATGGCAGGATCTTGCTAAACTGGGTCACACTGTGAAGTAGCAAACCAAGGGTAGGTACAGGGGCTGAGCCTCCACAACTAAGCCCTACTACATGGCTGGAAGGTCCACTCAGCACAGAGAAAACTGTTTCTAAACAGAAGAATCTGTCAAACATAAGTAACAGTTTCATTTATCCTAAGGAGGAAATGGTTTCAGAAGGTAATATGTCTTTTTAAAAAAAAAGGGGTGGGGGGGCAAATACAATTCTGAGTGCTGCTGCATGGGGATGGTGAAAGCTCACCCCACCACTGGAGGCTGTGTGCTGTGAGCCAGGGTTAGCTGCAGTGGGGGTCTGCCATCTTTCAAGAAAACACATCATTGCAATGAGCAAGCCTCTCTCCTCCAGCACTCACTCTGGCCATCTCCTGCTCAGCTGCCACTCTAATTGGACTTGAAGTGCTGCCTCCAGGAAAGTGACTCAAGAACCAGCTGGAGAAGAATGCAAATAAAGCTGGTGGGGGAGGGAACTCAGCAGAGGAGGAGGAGAGAAAAGACAAACAAATCCTAGGAGGAGAGGGCACAGGAGATAGACCTATCAGAGATATTTTTAAGGAGTAAGACAAGCCCTTGGACACACAGACACAACTGCTTCCATAAGTCATTACTCACAGAAAGAAGGAAGGTGACAAAAAATGGAGAAGGTTAAGCCATTTTAATGGGAGCATTTAATTTCTTTCCTCACATGTACCTATTAAAAGGTACCTTTTCCAAAGGAAGGCTCATTTTGTGTGGCCTAGTAGTTTCACAGACCTCATTTGGGGAATGAAAATAACTGCTTGATTACAAGCAAAGGGGCTTTTGAAAGCCAGGTGTGGGTTGTAAGTATGCTACAGGGTGGGGGCATCTGACAGCTATCACCCTGAGCAGGAGGCCCAGGACATGCTCCAAGACACACATGGGACTCAGTACTGACATTAGTAATTACCGTTATGTCCAAGGAGGATCTGGCAGACTGCTATGAAGATTCACATGAATAACTACTTAGGTTAGTAAAGCTAATAGCTTTGAAAGGTTTAAGAAATGGATTCACCCTTGATGTATAAACAAGAATCATCTGCTTCTGAATCTTCCAAGGAAACTGGGTGCTCACGGTGTGTTTTCTCTGCCTCTGATTACTAAATGGGTAAAAGGGGGAAAACAGGTAGCTTGGAGTAATTTTAAGGCTAGCCACAGGCTAGCTGTACTTAGTGGAGAATCCAAATAATCAGGCTGTATCTTCAGGGAGCGTGCCCGTCTCTCACTAAACCTGCACACGCCCTGGAACAAGGATGCTCACTCGAAGGTCACTGCTGGGCTAGGGTTCTTCCTCTTCTCAGGATAACATGCTGCTCCTTTCCTGTTGTTTACAACGCCATCTCATTGCAGACATCATTTTGAGCAAAGTAAACCAATTATCATTATTGGCTTTTGGGGGATGAGAAAGTAGAAATAATACAAAGTGTTGGTTTATTGTGACAGAAGATACTTTGCCTTAAACAATCAAAGATGAGAGGAATGATAATTTTGTTAAAAATAAAAACAAAAATAATATTTGGCACAATATTTTAAAACTCTTCTATGTAGTGAATTAGTGAATTAGGCAGGTTTTCTTTTCTCTTTTCCTACATGAATAGTTAAGATACTGATGTTAGGTATTCTTTACTTAATAGATAACAGTGAGGCTCAAACATTAGCTCCCTTGGAACAATGCATCGATTTACCTGTGCAAAATCAGCAGCAAGTCGCAGTTTCCCGCCTTCACCAAGAGGTCTTATGAGACTGGCATTGCGGATAAAGAGTTCAATGGCTCTTTGTGCAATAGCTTCAGTATTGTCAAAAACAAAATCCAAGCATTCAAAGTGCTTAAAGTAGTCACTCATAACTCTGGCAGTGAAGCCTTGTAGCTCTTTCATGTACAGGGAACAGGGAACGTCAGGCTTTCCTGAGCTGGTTAATGCCCTATAAAAGGAAAGAAAACATTTTCAGCACTGATGCCCAAAACTACAATCCTAGATATTTTCTGCCCTTGGTTACTATTTCAATCCTGTGCAATTTATTTTTCCTTTTAGTGATATGAAAGCACTGATTTTGTTTTGTTTTGCTAAGTATTAAAGAAAATAAAACAATGTTTAAATTGTATTCTTAAATTTGTGTTTAGATCCTATGAGGATTACTTAAGGAATTTTAGCATGCTTTTACTTAAAAGATTATCAAGAATAAAACACAGCTATCTGTCTGAGATGAATCACACACTGGCCTTTCCAGGTTTGACGCAGCTTCCAGCTCTCCACTCCCATGCTTTGCCTGGTAAGTGAATGTGTCAATAATGGATTCTGAAAATGACATTTTGCACTTTTCAAGGGCAGAAAATACTTGGTGTCAGTCTCTGCTCTTGTATTTGATCACATCAGTCCAATGGCAACACTGTGACAGAGGGACTGGTTGTGTAACAATATGCAGTGTGCAATTTTTCCCCTCCAGATGAGGTTTGGAAAGGCTTTAATTTGGAACAGTAGATGATACCAGCTGTGCTTCATGATATACTATTTATAACTTATAAATGTTTACAACTGCCCTTTAAAGAATATACTCAAAGAATATGAAATATTTATAGGGAGGAGGGGTTGTACCAAAATTAGAGATCACCTGATCCTAGCTAATAGATGAGATCATTGACTACTTAACGCTGTTTTGTTTTTTTTTTTTTTTTCCCAAAAAGCAAGGGAAATGTTTCCAGATTCTGAGAGTGATGCAGAGGAAATGGAAATAGTCTAGAGATGAACATCAGACTGAAATTCTCTGAGAAAGAAAGCAACATGAACTTGACCTTCACAGTAAAGCAATGGTAATAACAATCAGAGGTCTTCTACTTCTAGAAGCAGACAGGACTAGGGAAAGTAGGAGTTCATTCCACCACAAAAGATTTTGTCCAGATGTAAGAAAGGCTGTCCTAGTAATAGGGAGATCCCCACCAGGTCCACACTACAGCCTGCTCAGGCTCAAGGCAAGCCTGCTCTGCCTGAGCAGAGGAGCCTTGGCTTGTGATGGCAAGCACCACATGGGGTCTGCCTTCACCAGATTCAGGTCACACTACATGGCCTACTTTTATTCAGGTACTGAGAGAGTTCTAAGTGCAAAAATAAAATATTTTCATATTCATTTGTTTATTTACTGGACAAACAGTAAACACATAATTGTGCCATATAATGATACACAGTGACATTGTATACAATATGGAAAGATAAAAAGTATCTAATGAACATATCAATCATGGTAAATTCATATTTATTCCTTTTATCTAGCTATAACTTTATATCATTTGACCAACATCAATGCATCACTTCAACTGCCAAGCCCTGGGAACCACTCACTGTCTGTTGTTCTCATTTTAGGTTCTGAGTGTATATGAGAACATGTTTGGTTTCTGTGTCTGGCTTATTTTTACATAGTATGTCTTCATGGTCATCTGTTCTGTGGCAGTTAGTAGGGATTCCTTTGGGATAGCTGACTACTGTTTCTTTTTGTACCCACACGACACTTGCGTAGCTTGTTTCTCTCCTCACAGACACACTGGGTGGTCCGCTACTGTTTTGTCAGTTTATACAATGGTGCAGTGAAGGTGGACTACAGATGGAACACTGATTTCATATCACACAAAACATAGTTAGAAGTGACATTGGAACATAGAGCAGTTGTAATTTTAGCTTTTTTGTTTTAAAGGCAGTGTATTATAATGTAGACCTGGATAACCTAGAACTCCCTATGTAGGGCAGCTGACAGATATCTACTTGCCTTTTGCCTCTCAAATGCTGGGATTAAAAGCATGTACCACCAAACCCAGCCTGTATTTTTAGCTTTTTGAGGCACCTCCATATAGTTGTTCACAATATCTATGGTAATTCATATCCTCATCAGCAATGTCAATATTTATAACGGCTCATCTTTTTAATACCCAACCTAACCATTAAAAAGTTGTGGCCTTAATCTGCATATTTTGCAGCAATGTAAGCTCTGTGTGTGTGTGTGTGTGTGTGTGTGTGTGTGTTTTGTTATCTGTTGAGACAGTCTCATGTAGCCAAGGCTAGCCTTGAATTTGTGGTCAAGAACTCCTGGACTTCGTGTCTTGACCTCTGTAAAAGCAGGCATGCACCACGGCCAGTTTATTCTATGCTAGGGAATGAACCAAAGGTACATACTAGGCAAGGACCAACTGAGCGACATGCACTCATTTGCAAATTCTTATTTTTAACCTATTTATGCCCTTCACTTTTAAATTAGGTTATTCAGAAGTTTCCTCTCTATTGAGATTCTGCTTGCTTGCTTGATCTGTCTGTCTGTCTGTCTGCCTGCCTACCTACCTACGTATCTATCTATCTATCTTTCTTTCTTTCTTTCTTTCTTTCTTTCTTTCTTTCTTTCTTTCTTTCTTTCTTTCTTTCTTTCT